CCTAACCCTCGTTATTTCCACCTGGATTGCAGTTCTTTCCGCGCATACCTGTTCCTTGGGGAAATCTTTTTTGAGTCTCCAACTCCTTTTCAAGATACCTGTAGCTCCGAATGTGCAAGTCTGGTTTTTGTAAGGGCAACCACGCGGCCCGAGAAGTCAAGGGTCCTGGTGTGGGGAATCCGAAGGTTAATTGACAGGCCGTGCTACTAAGTACAAGTATAGCGCACCTGGCGTGGGAATCCGAAGAGAAGAACGTCTGAGGATTCCCACGCCCGGTTCCACCTAAAATAGCTACTGACTAGTAGCACGTGCACGAGATGATCGGTGAAACAGTGCACCTGAGTAAGGGCTGCAGAATGGTGACTTTGCGAAGAGCGGACTCTAACACACAAAACCCACACACACACACACAACTCACTACAACCAGTACAAAGTGCTAAGATTGAGTTCGGATCCTTCTGAAGTATACAGATAAGATGAATTCTCTCTTTTATTGAAGTGGGACAAGTATCGACTCGACAAGTTTTGGTAGAACTAAGTTCGAGATTACAATAGCTTCAGGTAGCTACCAACCGAAGAACAATCGTGAACACACGAAAACACAGACAAGGGGTTTCAGTTGTAAGGATGTTTTGTTGTGAAAGTCTCCCCGGCTCAAGTCTCAACGACTTTAACACGGACGTGAACGGCTTCCTGACGGGCGCTTGACCAGGCCAGGCAAGGGAACAACGACTACGACCAGACTGCTAAACGTGTACAGGTTCCAATAGCCCAACTAACCGAAATATGACCAGGCTGCTAAACGCGCACAGGTTCCAATAGTAACGGCCGCCTGCCTCTAGCAACTTAACTGAGGACTTTTATCGAATTCTCGCCGTGACCCTCCACGAGACGAGGTGTGCTTATCTGGAACTGCTGCCGTGACCCTCCACGAGACAATAGTGTGTACCACCAGAAGCCTTGCAATCTCAGGACTCAGCAGTTAGCTATAACTGATAAATCTCAAGTTCGCAAAATTGTTAATGAATCAAGACAAAGATATGTTTTTGGTACACAAATCTCCGCAGATACAGAGGACACCAAAGCCTTTGGACAGAACTAGCTGATGGGCTATTTCCTGGGGCGAGGATGAACTACTGCAATGCGTGCTCTACGTGCTATTTTATAGGTTTTCGCTAAATACATGACAGACTGATATGAGTAAACAAGACAAAGGAAAATGAGTAATGAAACGGATTCGGAACGGAATGGAACAGCCACGCGTCTTCTCTACAGTGTCCTTGGTGAGGCTCGGCACCTTGCCAGTCAGCGTGAATGACCAGCCAAGCCATATTTGATATATCGCGAACATGCCGCTGGTTCGCGAACACGTCTCCCGCCTGCCGAGCCTACACACTAGGCCGGCTTGGTCGGTAATCCGCTAGGATTACGTCCCACAGCTCTGTCAGAGCCCTACGTCTCCCTCCGGCTTGTTAGCGAACACTCCGCACAGTCCCAGAAAGGATATTGAAAATTGCGATCGACGATCAAGTCCCCTTTTGGACTGTGCAGATCCTGCAAAAGTGCTTGCACACTTCCTGGTTCATTGACATGATCCCATGATGGTCCGGGTGAGGCCGGACACTTGATCCTTGGGGTACAGAGGGTTTGCGAAACAGTACTTCGTTCGCAAACTGGTCCAATGTCCGTCCTTTTGGTACTAGGTCACTTCGCTACTTCGCTATCTGCTATGTCTTTGGTCATGCATGATCCACACAAAGGATGTCTGAGCTTTTGGGTATATATCTCCGGGGTATGGTATCTAGCCTGCAGGGCAAGCCACGTCCTATCACTAGGATCTGACTCTGTCTGTCGGAGCTCGCTACTCTTCTAGGACTGTCTTTGTCTGGCTCCCATTTGGTAGCGAACCGAGTCAAAGTACAGATCCTCAGAATAGGAATCCTCTAGCATCATTAATACTCAACCAGCAGTTTTGAGAGCAGGGCGTCCGGCTGCCGGGATGCCGCTGTCATGATCGATCAATCTCGGCGTTATCAAAGGCAAGCACAACCAAATAATGTGTCTTCATCGCGTCCTCCTTCCTCGCTGCTGCTCACGTCACTCATGCCCAACCGGCGTATCAGCGATGACCTGAAAGAGGCTGCACTTCGCCTAGAGGATCGTGGGCGCGACACTACCAAACAAATTCTAAAGATAGTGCAGTTCTCGAAATCAACACTTGTCCGCGCGCGCCGGCGGAAGCTTCTGACGGGACGTGTTGCGAAGGCTGTTGCCCATGGTCGCGGACGTCCCCGTACACTAGCCGAACAGGATGCCGACTATCTTGTTCGCCTCGCGAAGCACAAACCTACAACATTTCTTGATGAATATCACGAAAGATTGGATCGTTACCGGTTTCTCCCGGCATCACTAGCCACGATTCACCAGACGTTCATCCGTGCTCGAATGAGCCTCAAACAGGTTCAGAAAATGGCTTCCGAACGATCCCCACTCAATCGAGCCAATTATTCACGCCGCATTTCTATTTACCCCCCTGATTCTCTATTGACGAAGTCTCAAAAGATGACCGTACTTATGCTCGCATCTTCGGCCGATCAGAGATCAGGACTCGTGTCGAGTGCTCACAGCCATTCGTTCGCAAACGGCGCCTTACCGGAGTAGCAGCTATGGCAGTGGGAAAGGGAATCTTAGGAGCTAGAATAGTGGAGGGTTCTCTTTGCTGCAAGACCTATGTGGAATTCTTACGGGACAGTGTGGTGAGTGCACATTCCACATTTTCGATTTATTCCTGACACACGGCGGGGACAGATGCCCTTGACAACACCATACCCAGGGCCGTGCAGTGTCTTGATCATGGACAATGCTCGTATTCACCATGGTCCCAAAGTTGAGGAGCTTGCAGCTCAATATGGTAAGCCTGACCTTTACCGTCACATCTTTTCTCCTGGCTGACTTTGCAGGTGTCTGTATCGAATACTTACCGGCTTACTCACCTGATTACAACCCCATAGAGCAGGGATTTTCCGTGATCAAATCATACCTGCGCCGCAAGGGGATCCACTACTTTGATGAACATGTGGCGTACTACGGGATGTACCGTGCATTCCAGGAGGTTACGCCGGAGATGACATATGGATTCTTTCGTCATTTGGGCTACTTTGTCGAGTAAAGCACCATTACTTGTGTCGAACAGTTGGCTACAACTCTGTATGTAATTCCACCTTCATTCTCCTTCGCCAGCCAGCCAGCGGTCCTGTCCATCACGTATATCGGCTATCTCTGCGGGGTTGAGACCAGCGTCTTCAAGGTGTGAGTTTTTCAGGTGGCGAAGGGTGTGTGGTCCAGTGACCGAATATGCTTTTAGCTTGGAATGAATCTGCTGTGATAGGTTGAAGCGAAGGCAGAAAAGCTCTAGTGTCATCTGAGGCACAAGTCGTGGGCGTGGGGCAGGATTAGAAAAAGATTGATCAGGAGCAGCGGGAACACCACGCGGAAGTGCGGTGTTGGGGAGTGAGAGATTGATGGTTATATTGGAGTCCTTATTAGTTGATTTCTGGGACGCACGACCACGGACCAGAGTTCTGTCTTCATTGTCGGGGTCTTGATGGGTTAACAGTTTGTTGTCAGGGGGATTTTTGAGATCAACAGATGTCCCATCGGGGTTGATGATTTTCCCTTGCTGCAGTTACTGAGCTTTTACGAATGCTAGAATTGAATGAACTCACAATGGCAGCCGCCCACGATTGTAAGTGGAAATGAGTCAAGTGGATATGCTTGGCACTTTCGCGATCCGGAAAACAGATGAACCGTTTGCAACTACGATCTTCACACTTCTATTCGGAGTTGAGCTTGACAATCAGATCGTTCTGCTCGACTTCCTCTGCCGACGGCTCAAAAGTCTGGGAGCGGATCAGGTTTACGCGCATATAGTCATATTTATGGTGTACACCTTTTTCTTCTTCTTCTTCCGGGGCCGCTCATCGTCGCTTGAGTCGACCTCATCTTCGTCTCCTTCCTCGTGGGACTTAGAGAATAAGTATCAGAACTGGACAGATGATATGTAAAGCACGCACCTTCAGCTCGGTCAAAAAGATCTTGATGGTCTCCGGAGCAGTTTTCTTTGTTGCTTCTTTGAGAAGGGCCTGGTAGTCGGCATCACAAGTAAGCGCCATATCCTTGAATTGGGATTTCGGAATGGAGTAAGTCATGCCGTCAATGTCGAGAGTTGTACTGGTATAACAGTCGTTGCGCGGCAGGAAAGAAAAGGTGAGATCATCATCAGGGCGTTTGAGAGCCGAGATCGCGGCGTAAAGCATGTGATTGAGGGCGGAATCCTCATGGACATAGAACGACTTGTTGATTGGTTTTGGCTTTGCATTTTTCCATGCTTTTGGAGGCGGTTGTCAGGGGAGCCCCCGCTCCGGCCCCCGTTCCGGCTCCGGTCTCCGCTCCGGCCCCCGACCCCGCCTCCGCTCCGACCTCCGCCCCAGTCCCCGTCCCCTCCGTCGCTCCCCCCGTCGCTCCCTCTGCCCCCGCTCGCCCGCTCCCGCAACCCCGCCGGAACTCCAGTTCTGGATACCACGTGGCCTGTGACCGCGCATGGGACCTATGCGCGTCACTCCGGTTGCTCTGATCACCCCGCGCACGTGCTACTAGTCAGTAGGTATTTTAGGCGGCTCCAGGCGTGGGAATCCTCAGACGTTCTTCTCTTCGGATTCCCCACGCCAGGACCCTTGACTTCTCGGGCCGCGTGGTTGCCCTTACACTCAAACTTTGTTTGTGGCACTTGATGTATATGTAAACATACTTCACTGAGGTCCACAATTGAACTGGCATGTCTTCTGGTATGAGAATTTTCAATTTATATGACTTGCCAATAAGCTCTATCATCTCTCATATTTATGTAGAGTCCTTGCACCTAGCCTACCTTATGGTAAGATGTTACATGCACAGTGGGCATTCACCACGCTGACAACATTTGCGTCAGACTTTGTAAGCAGGGCAATATGGCCGAGTGGTCTAAGGCGCCAGAATCAGGTCGTCAAACCTCATCTGGTCCTCCGGGGCGAGGGTTCGAATCCCTCTGTTGTCACTTTTTTCATCATTTCACACATCATCATACCCCTAAACGCAGTTATATTCCTGCCGCTGACAAGTTTCTCGGTGGACATCAGTAATTATCGTGGGCCGATGGTGGCCGGTGACTGATAAGGTTGTCTCGTGCTGCATAAGACAAGGTACTGTTGATCCGTTACTGCCTAAACATAGAAAACTCACCCAGTATCATGTTATCTACTGGGTGAACATTGTAACTTTCCTCACAATTTTACTAGAGGGTTTGGGCGAGAAATGTGAGATATCCTGGAGGTCTTTCCCCATGAGGGTCACCCCAGGGTTGTTGAAACAAAGTTGCAAAGTGAAAATGTGGCACATTAGCTCCTGAGCATGGGGGGTTTATCGAGTGTTCCACAAGCCTCGCAAGATGTTTGATGGCGTGGTATAATGGATGGACGGGAGATGGTGGCGGTGGGAGATAAAAAGAACTGCAATGGCTGTAAGGGCAACCATGCGGCCCGAGAAGGCAAGGGTCCTGGCATGGGAAATCCGAAGGCCATGCTACTAAGTACAAGTATAGTGCACCTGGCGTGGGACACCCGAAGAGAAGAACGTCTGAGGATTCCCACGCCCGGTGCCGCCTAAAATAGCTACTGACTAGTAGCACGTGCGTGGGGTGATTGGAGCAACCAGAGTGATGCGCATAGGTCCTGTGCGCGGTCACAGGCCACGTAATAGCCGAAGCTCTGGCGGGGTTGCGGGAGCGGGCGTGTGGGAGCGGAGGCGGGAGCAGGGGGAGCCGCAGACGGAGTGGGAACCGGAGCAGTGGTGGGGTCGGGGGCCGGAGCGGAGACCGGAACCGGAACGGGGGCTCCCCTGACAATGGCTATGCTGACTAGACGAGGTTCCAGTCTCTCTAAGACAGATGCTACAGTGAACAAGACTCCTAGTTTCCTAATTTTTGTCATGTAGAGGTTAAGCTCATGTATATATTGTCACTCTCCTTTGCTCTTGAATCATAACACTCCATGTTGAACAGTGTTGAACTGCATTCTACAGTAGTACCACATTCCTATCTCATTATAACTTCAAAGCTATCACGGCCTATTCTATATATGTTATATTCTCCTGTTTGTGACCCGCCGCTTGCCGGCCACTACCTTTCATGATATGATACAAAATGCGTGCTTACGTAAAGGCGCCAAGGAAGCCGAGACCAACAAAGAAGAGAAAAATCTTATCAAGATCGTGACTTCCTCGACTTCGTCTTCACTGCGGCAGTCTTCTTCGGCGCTTTGATGAGCTTGTCCTTGGAGATATCGTCCGAGTCTTTGCTCTTTTCGTCGTCCGACGCGTCATCCGCTGGTTCGTCCATCTGAGGTGCGATGACGGTCAGTCAAGTTGTCCAATGAAGGAAGAGCGGCTCGACGGACATCGAACACATCCTCGATGTCGGGCGCAGGCCCGCCGGGGAGCTTCTTGGGCACCTTGCCCAGGTCCGACGCCTTGTGGAAGGGGATAGGGTGCTGCGCTGCGTTGTACCTGCGCGCGTCATCAGTTAAGGGCTGAAGTGCGATCGGCGAAGCGGCGACTCGACACGAACTTCTTCGTCAGTGTCGTCTTCGTGGCCGTGGATATCTTCTTAAGTATCTGCTCGTCCTTCCTCTCATCCACCCCAAGCTCGATGATCGTATCCCACTCCTCTTTGGTGAGGTAGTACTCGTCCATCTTCTCGATCACCGTTTCTACCGCGCTCTGTAAACCGCCAAGATCACCGTGAGCAGGACGACTATGCAGAGGGAACGGATAGAGAGAGCACGCACCGCGCCGACGTCTATGAGGGGGCGCACGATGTGTGGGAACAGCGCAGGGATGTACGACGTGCGGATCTCCGACTTGTCGCCAGACACCTTGAGCCGCATGCGGATCTGTACGTCGCCCAGCGCGCGGCTGAGCTTCGTCTGCTTCGAATTCTGCCCGAGCCATCTGCGCGCGGGACAGATCAGCGAGTCAGGCGCATGCAAGGGGGGCCCACGTACTGCGGGAACGTCATTGAGTTGGGCCCGCCGTAGTGCGCGCCGCTGCCGTACATGAAGGACGCCGGCCGTACGGTCGAGCACACCGCATGCAGCGGCATCAGCGCCCAGTGCTGCTCTGGTCTGCGGGTCCATGAGCTTACTATGCAAAGAGAGGAAAATCGGCCTACCCGTGTATCAGCGCATCGACCAGATCTCCGTCCGATATTGAGGACGCGGCCTTGTCCATCAGATGCAGCGACTTGAGCTGCTTCATCGGCCCGTCGAAATTCCGCAGCTTCGCCGGCTCCGTCTTGAGGTAGTTCTCCTGCACGTTCTTGTCAGCACATATTGGTAGTCTTTGGAGGATGCTCAGACCTGTATAAACAACGGCATGAAGGAGTGGTCCTGAAAATACAGCTCCATTTTGTCGCCGAGCGTCTCGCGCGACGTCGCCGAGAACAGGTATGGGCCGAGCATCTTGGAGGTGATGTCGAACGGGCTCATGATCGTGTACTTCTCGTTCATCTTCGCGCTGTTCCACAGTCAGAAGATACGAAGGAGATGAGGGGATCGATGCGTACAGCGATTTCCCCTCATCAAAGTCCATCGTGTCGCTCGACAGCCGCCAGGTGGACAGCATATTCAGCACCTGCCGAATGTCCGACTGAGCGCCCGCAACGAGCTGGTCAATCACGTTGGCGGGGAGCTTCATTTTCTCTCTGAAAATCGTGTCAGCATGTTGACAAGGACATCTGGCGTACACACTTGAACGCGATAGTCATGATGCGCGAGCGTATCATCTGTGCCGTGGGTCTGTGATGGAGTTAGCAGCACTCCGTGAAGGCGCGGATGGACGCACCTTTGAAATGTGAGACTATATGTCGTGCTGACCAGCGGCTTCAGCTTTTGCGCCCCCCGGTCGTTCGCGATACAAATAATGGGCACCTGGAAGTTCCATGAGCGTCGCAAGAACGGAACGCAATGCGGTGTACGCACCTTGCTCTTCTTAATCATCGCATTCAAGGCGCCGACGCCTCCGCGGTCGCCAGCCGACATCCCATCGACCTCATCCATGATCAAAACGGTCCGGTCGGTGATTTTCACCCCGTCCCTTTCCTGCGCCTCATCAGCATCCGGCCAGCGAGCAAGAAAACAGACAGACGGCGCTCCCCGCAATGTATCCGTCCAGCGACGTGTTGTTCACGTTCATGCCGCTCTGCGGAAGACATCAACTGCTGCGCACGCGGATCCCGCGTTGCGCACCTCGACGAGCTTCTTGCTCCGCGCATCGCTCGCGTTGAGCTCGATCGGCGTGAACCCCGCGAGCTTTGCGACCATGTGCGCGCTCGTAGTCTTGCCGATCCCGGGCGGCCCCGTAATGAGGATGGCGCGGAACACGTTCATGCCGTTCTTCCCCGGCTTCTTGAAGCCCGACTTGAGGCTGCTGGGCCTGCGGGGGTACAAGTACAGTGGAAACAAGGGACGAGAGACGGGGACCCACCAGTCCTTGAGCCACTGCTGCAGCTTCTCGACCTGGCCCTTGTTGCCGCAGATCTCTTTGAGGGTCTGCGGTGCGTACCGCGTCGTCCACAGCTGCGAGGACGGGTCGATGGCGGTCGGGTTGGAGCTACGGATGATGAGCGGCCGACCGGGGCGTATGGCAGAGCTGCCTACCGCTGCGCTTTGGCGGCCTTCCTTTCACGGGTCTCCATCTCCTTCGCGGCCGTCTCGATCGCCTCGCGCTCCTTTTCCATCTTCTTCGCCGTCTTTTCGTCCACCTTGCCCGACCCCTTGCGCGTCGCGATGAGCTTCAGGAACGCGTCCTCGTCCAGCGTCTTCGTGCCGTGCTTCCTGATCCCCGCGAGCTTCGCCGCCCCGGGATTGTCGCCGAGGACGACATAGTCGGTCTTGCCCGAGAGCGCGCCGGTGATGCGCCTGCACATTGCGGCGGTCAGGAGAGACGGGAGGGTGGGGTGGGGAGCAGACGCACCCGCCGAAGCGCTTGGCGATGTCGGTGGCCTCGTCGCGCGAGAAGCTGCTCAGCTCGCCCGTGAACACGAATGCCAGGCCCGCAAGGCAGTTGGGCGCGCCGTCGGGCACGTCCTTGGTGCCGTGGGCCGCTGGGGCCGCCAGCTTCGCGGCTTTGAGCGCGGCCCAGCTGGTCATACAAGATTACGATCTGGGTGTAAGAGTTGACGGCAAACGCACTTGGGTTTCGCTGGTGCCTCCTCCTTCCCCTTCGCCTTGCCGGAGACCTTGGACGGTCCAGCCTTCACTGCGCGCTTCTTGGCCACGGGCTCCTCGTCGCTGTCGGACACGTCAGACTCGGCTTTGGACTTGGAAAGTCGCGGTCTCTTCTTGGCAACCGGCTCCTCATCGCTATCTGACACCACGAAGTCGTCGTCCCTCTTCGACTTGGAAAGGCGCGGCTTGACCGCCTTCTTCTTCTTGGGAGGCTCGTCCTCGTCCTCGCCGCTAGACAGGAACAACGGCGTCGGCTTCTTGCGAATGACTTTTGTAGGAGGCGGAGTGTCATCATCGCGCGGCTTCGGCGCAGGCTTCTTTTTCGGCGGGGTGTCCTCGTCGTCGCTCGAGAGCAGCGCAGCGGCCTTTTTGCGCTTTTTATACGCGGGCTCGGCTTCGCTATCCACCTCCATCGGCATAGGAACTGGCGCATCCTGATACGTGTACATGCATATTAGCTTGGATGCCGTGACCAGCTCGATGGAGGCGCACAGATTTGCGAGGCGACACAGTGGACTTTGGAGGCAACTGTGCAACATGCGCTATGAATTCCGCCTCGCCGGCCAAAGCAAAAGAGTACCGATGATGTGGGTGTCAATCTGGACCTGACGAGATGAGTTTCGGCACGGAGAGGAGGGATGGAACGTACGAAGAGGCTTTCTGTGCCGGAGGGCTAGAGATACTTCATGTAGCGCGACGAGAAACCGATAGCTCATCAAGAACCCACATTTGTTCGTCATCGTCGCCTGGGGATCGGGTAAGGCGCAAGACGACC